GGCGAGCGGGGCCGGGCTGGGCGCCGGGCCGGGGTTCCCTGTGTCGGCGTTGCTGCCGAAGGCTTTGTGTTGCGATCGTGCCACGGCATCAGTAAGTCTTTTTCGTGTGGCAGAGGCAGAATCTGTGCGTGATTTAAGCCGAATCTGTGTTTTTGCTGCCTACCGTGAGAACATTGGTTGGGGTAATTGGCTGTGGTGACTCACCTGTAGGAGCAGACTTAAAGAAATCAGTGTTTGTTTACTTTAATATGTGTTTGTCAGTAGCCTGCAGCATTCATGGCCTGATTCATGATGCGTCCCTGCAGCAGAGGCAATAATGTCTAGAAGAGTGTTAGGGTAGAAAGCTGAAAATTGTAGTCTCTTTAACCAGTCCAGCTGAATCGTCTAGCGCTTGCCAATCCCTGCCCCAATACAGGGCTCCTGGTAGAAGACAGAGGGAAGCTGAAACTAGTGGATTTCTCATCTATCCCTCTTCTAGCGCAGCTTTAATGCTTGTTGTCTTTGCAGGTCATTAAATAGTCCTGCCTCTGCTTCCTGTGCACGGTTCCCAAAGCTTTAGGATACTTAAACTGTGGGAGTGGGTATCATATAAGGAGGGAATAAACACACACTAACGGTATACTTTTCCGTATGACTAAAGGAAAAATATCACACATCCAGGACCAAAGAGTAACATCCTGCTTTTACAGTGGGAAATGCATCGTGAAGTGATGAAGTAATGACCCTAAACAGGATTTGAGGTAGGTGGTCAACTAAAACATAAAATCTCAGTGCAACATTAATTCAGAGGTGCAAAATACTTCTCAAATGAATAAATGGGGGGAGTTTGAGTAAAACTCTGCCTTGTTCTGGAAGGTAATGTCCGATTCTAGTCTTAGCAAGTTAGAAAGTCTTCTGATGAATTGAGATTTAGTGACCAATCACAGGCATGACTAAAGGACAGGCATCTGTGTCTTTTCATCAGCTTAACAAAGCTATTTTGCTGTTGAGCTTAACAAAAAGGACATGAGGAGATAATTCAGTCCCAATCTGCAGGTACTTATGAGGTAGAAAGCTTTTTCTGTTTTGTAATGGAGATTGACAAAATGAAGAAAGACATCCAAGGAGTTCCTGGGATTGAGATTTAGAACTGGTGTAATTTAGTCTGCTCAGAAATGATTTTTAACCTGTAAATGTCCACTGGAACAGTTTACTGAGGGGATGCAATGAATTCTTCCCTAGAGTAAAGTACCTAATCAAGGCAAGGTTTCCCACTGCCTCACAAAGGGTTGTTCAGTTTTAAACAGCTCTTGTAGGAGCAGGAAGACATCATAAATACACTACTGGCTTCTCTTGTGAAAATCAGTGATGCTACACTGAGTTATGGAAAAACAATAGAGATTTAATTTCTTAATTGTATAGATTTTGGAAGTCATTGGCGTCTGCTCAGTAGTAGAAAGAATATTCTGCTTAATAGTAGTGGATTTCTGTAATCCTTTCCTTAAATCAGTCTCTGTTATTCGTTTAGGGAGACTGTGGAGCTTAAATATGATATGTTTAAAGAGTAATTTCTTAAACAGTGACATAGCCTAGAAGCGGCAGGCTTTGAAATCATGATATTTTTGTGTGGCCATTAGAAGATTTTTTTTGTTTGTTTGTTTTGTTTTGTTTGTTTTTTTTTTGTTTTTTTGAATTTGCTGTCCTCTCAGAGAAGAAGAAATACATGTTCCATGTGGGACCAGTAATGTGGTACTGGGCTAGATCTTCTTAAGAGAAGACGATGGTTAATTTTATTGTTTTTTTTTAAGGGGTGTCTTTTCCACATTAGGATTTAAGGCTGATCATATGTGCTTTGGATCAAGCTACTTCTTGCACTGTACATTTATGAGTGAGTGTATTGCTTCAGTTTTCAGGGCCATTTTGTCTTTCATCAGCAAAAAAATTCATGTACGACTTAAAAACCAATTGCTGTCTTAGATAATAGAGGTATTTGACCACCCGGGGCGGGGGGGGGGAATCTGATTATACTGAACACTTTAATCAGAAATATTTTAAATGCACATTTCTCCCTTGTTTCTTAATAGGAACATTTGCAAGATCTTTGCTTCTTCATCACCAGAAGTTCCAGTTAGTTCTTGTGGAGATGGCTGGGAGAGCCTCAAAAATAGGATTATGAGGTGGGAGGGGGACATGAGGAGAGATGTACATGAGGTGGCAGTTTTCAGCAG